AAAATCTATAAATCCAATCTATGCATTCTTAAATTTTTCTATTCTAAAATTCATATAATGAGAGACTAAAATTCTAAGAATTTATGTCACAAAATATTATATTACGAAACTGTATGTGTATAATATATACTTATAAAAATATCCACATATACAATATGCCTTTCATATTTTTTAGGTAATCGTGGTTCTTCGAAGAAGAAGAAAATTTCAATCAAGATTCAACTTAGTGAAGGCATTGCAACCAATCCTTTCCTTCAGCAATCCATTCTTTCCAATGTTGAGACCAATCCTTTTCTATCGTTCTATGGCAACAGAAGTCAATTCAGTGTAGTGCCAAGAAATATATTTCTGCCACAAGAAAATAATTTTTCCAGCAGTGCAACTTGGATTAACAGTAACAATCCCTTCTTGAACATTGGGACCGATATAAGAGTTGATACAGAATCTTCTGTTGCACCAGAATCAGTTACACAAACACCTTATAGGCCACTGCCATCTGCACCAGTAATTAATACACCATCAACATCTTATACACCAGCACCTGCTAATAACCCTTTTATAACATCTCATACGCATAATCCTTCTATTAAAGTTGAACCTCCATCCTTAAGCACACCATCATTATCGGATATCAAGATTGGCCCAACAAAGACAAAATCAGAGCTTAGTAAGTAAAATATGATTACACAAAAATTTGAAAATGTAACAATGAGACCGATCATTTAAGAATCCAGTGAAGGACCTGGAACACTTCAAAAACTTTTATATATTTGGTAAATTGTAATAATGTCTATATATAAAACAAATTTCAGAATGCGAAGAATACGTGAGAGAACTCGTAGGCACGACTGAGATAATGTCGCTGGTCGGCACATCACCCGACGTGATCAAGGTGGATAATGTCTGTCGGGATGCAAATCGCCTGATTGTCGGCGGCACCGAGGCTAAGCCCGGTGAGTTCCCGCATATGGTCGCCTTGGGCAGACGCAACTCTGATGAGACGTTCACTTTGATATGCGGCGCGACACTGATTTCACATACTTGGGTACTTTCTGCTGCGCATTGCACTTATGGGCCAAAGTACACACTTCTATTATTTTTCTTTCACTTCTTAAGCTATTTAAGAATTATGACAGGAAAGCTTTGATTTTTTTTTATCCAGCAGCCATCCCATTAATGGCTGCAACGATGAATTAGATAAAGGCTCAAAGTCCAAAAGCATTCCTCAAGATTAATTCAGAATATATTAGAGATTCACGTGAAGATTATAGCATTTTAGAAGTATAAAAAGAATTTTACCTAGATTGAAGAGCTAAGAATTATGAGGATGATCTTACAGTTATTTATGGAACGATTACAACGAAGTTAGTTCTTATTAAAGATTTGCCTTCTTGCAGTGGCGGTCCGACTGACGCACGGATAGGTTTTCATAGATTGACAGACCAGCAACCCGGTGTCACAATTGCCATTAAGACCATGATACGACATCCGGATTACAACCCACCCGCGATGTATGCGGACATAGCTCTAGTGCAACTCATGAATGCCGTTACATTTAACACATCGATACGACCTGCATGTCTTTATGTACAGTACGATACCGGGCCTATGAACGCCTGGATCAGCGGCTGGGGTGTTACCGAATTCGGTAGGTAATTTAGTAATTCTTTCAAGTCTTGAAAGTTTCAAGATCATAAAATTTTTAAAGAAAAAAAGTATCATACAGAATTCGAAAATTTAAAGATTTAAAAGACTTTCTATCAGGAACTTTATTTCTATAATTTGAAAATTCTAATAAGAAAAGTGGAATACCAATGTAGTGACAAAGTTTAATGACGTGCTTTCAGCTGGAGAGCAGACCGACCGATTGCAGAAGGCTCAGTTGGACTTGGTAGACAATTTAGCGTGCACGATACGGCACAACAGTTCCAAAGAGGTTCCATATGGCGTCACACCGAGCATGGTTTGTGCGGGTGATCCTCATGGCGGTTGGACCAAGGATTCCTGCCAGGGCGATTCCGGAGGTCCTTTGCAAATTATCCATCCTAAAAATTTGTGCTTCTTTCAAGTGATCGGTATCACCAGTTTCGGTCAGGGCTGCGCGATCATCGACGCACCTGGTGTTTACACTAGAGTATCCCATTATATATCCTATATTGAGAATATCGTCTGGCCGTAATAATTGTGATCTATTAGACTTTTACGCGAAAGATATAAAAAAACATAGTTTATTAAATTGTACTTATTCAAAAATCAAGTCTCACAATTAATCAATTAAAATTGACTAGTCAGTCAAATTAATCTAGAACTAAGGAATTTATAACATTTACAATTTTTTTCCACTTCTCGTCATTTTATGATATAATATCCATTCATCATATATAAAAATAATTTTAAAATTTCAGAGAAGTCACATGCAGTCATTTTATATGCTGCTTATGTTCCAATTATTACCTGTGAAGAGAAAATTATCGACGGTTGTGAAAAGCTAATTGTATATATGTTATAATTCTATTAATTATGATAGTGCAATAAAACAGTTTGCAGTTTGGACTAGAATATCGGAACGTATACAAGAACGGAAAAGTCACGAGAAGGTATGAATTGTAAAATGCGAGACTGATGATATTGACTTTCTGAATCTTAGAAATTAAGAGATCTTGCTATCGTGAATGGTTCGCCATGTGAGTCCATCACCATATGGGCCATGGTTTGATGGGAACAGAACATGCCACCAGCTTCTGCAACAACACATAAACGAAATACATTTCGAGAATAATATTCGCCATGTTTGACAGTAAAAATAATAACATGAAAATAACATTCAATATATTTGATGAAAAATACTTGTATGCTGAACAAAATTTGCAACAAAACTAATTTCCAATTTCCTTTACAAATATTCTATTTTATATATAATTTACTGTTGTGACATAGAAATAAAATTATTTTATAAATATACTCATTTTGTTCTCGTTTAATTAGCTTTCTTGATGATTTATATTGCTCTCTAAATATCAATTGATTGTATTTTAATGAAAGATTCTCTCACAAACATTTAACATTTCAATATATATTTTAGTAAAATTTTGAAACCTGTTTTTTATTCCCAAGAACAATCTCCAATTCTCCCTTGGCCCAAAGTCGTACGGATTTTGATAGAACTTGCCCTGGGCCCGGTATTTTTGCGATTCCGTGCTGTTGATACGCGCTTCGATGCTCGTCTCCCCCCGGGTGATTAGACCCGCGTGCCACCAGGCCAAGGCACCCAACGCTGTGAACGTGGCGATGCAAATCAGACCCGCGAAAATTATCAATCTTCGTTGCCATTCCTTGACCACGGTTTCTGCTGCTTGTCTCGCTATTTCCGCCAGTTCCTCCTCGCTTAAATGATCCAGCGATTCCGTCTGCATTAATTAAGTGCAACGTTTAATATTTTTCAAAAATGATAGTTGGATAAAGCATATGTTCATCGACCAGTTAACATACCACAGGAATTATTTCCGAATTATTGAGGCGCACCGGATGGCCGTCCAATTCCGGTTCTTGCTCAGGAAAGAATTCCTCGTATGCGAGTCGCACCCCAAATATCATGATAAACGTAATACCGATCACAGTATAAACCATGTACAAGAAAAAGTGTCGGTGATTATAGTGGCCGACGCAATTGTTTAGCCATGCTGCATGCTGATTAAGGAAGATCTGTCAAGATACTACAGAACGCCCGGATAAATTCTCATTGATAATAATTGATCTATGAAGAATAATTAATTAATGAGAAATATATAATCGAAATATTCAAACTGATTTGTAAAATATGTAAGGATACGACAATGATGATCCATCTTGAGGATGCATTTGTTGCAGACAGAACAGTGGTGTGTTCTGGGTGGCTTTGGCTTGATACATTTTTTGCAGATACTCACAGCCTCTGGAATAAGGCCGCCCTGAGGCGGATAACCCGCCGGCACGGCCACACCCATGTAATAATGGAAGCAGACATTAACCAGCAGCCAATTTCCAACCAATAGCAGAATTATCGTCACCAAAGGACTTCGATCCCACCACCAGGGTAGACCCAAGTAGTATGCAATATATACGATACTGGCAGTTAGCAGGCTTACCATCACCACAAATACCTGTAAGCTGCAATGCTTAGTAAATACATTGTGAATATAATAAAGTTTGTATTAAATTTAATTATGTATACTCAGCGAGGCATTCTGTGGTTTATTCATATAAAGTGGTAAACTTTGTGTGATATTATAATATTATAATATATTAAACTTTATATGCAAAAAATTTATTGTTATAATTTCTAAATATATGCTATAAATTTTAAATACAATATTATATACAACTTATAATATATAAAAAGTGTAAGAATAAATACTAATTATAATCTTACCGGACCCAAACAGGCAGTGAAATTCTCAACAAACCAAAACATAGGTTCCATAAGTATATCACAAGCATAACTCCAATTTAAGAAATCATTGTAGAATAAAGATTTGAAGACAATTTGCAACCGCCACCATTTTTGCTTCAAACTGATCCTACAGATAAAAATTAAATCAGATCTTATTTATTAAGAAGTCCATATAAAATTATATGCAAAAGCAACAACTAAAATTAAATATAATTTTTAATACAATTTTTAAAAAATTACAGAAATAAAAAGTGAAAAGAAATTGAATTAGATGCAGAAAAAGAGATCATTTTTATAAATGATAGATATAAGTATAAGATTTTCAATAAAAAATAAATATACAAATTTATTGATTTACTTAAGAACATTTGGCGCCTTCGCCAAGGACCATTGTATCTTTGCCATTTTCGCTTCTCCCCTCGAGTCCACTCAAATATACTCATAATTTTAACATATTAAAATTATATTTCACGAACGTTGACACACACGTTCCTCGTCATACTAATTGCCCCAGCCTTGCGCATCTTGCATACATTTGATAAGGTGCTGATTGATAACCGTTGTAATCACATCAAGGATTTGTCAATAACCTCGATAGTCCGACCGCCATATTTGTCTCCCAAAAAATAATTTAACATAATATATATATTAACATAATATATATATAACTAAAAATATGATAATAGTTATCGTATAAACATAAGTTTGCTTTCTTATAAACTTAAAATTATTATTTACATATTTATATCAAAAGCTGAAAAAGAATAAAAAAGAAGAGAGAGAATTAGGGAGTGTTCGAAAATCCTATCCATAGGATAAAGTAGCTTTTGATTAACCAATCAGGGCAAAAGGAGTAAAAATTTCTATGCAGAATGGATAGGATTTTCGAACGCACCATTAAGATTGTTCCGTCATGTTTTATGCGGTATTTTTGAAATATAACAGCTGTCAGCTGTCAAAAATATTTATTGGTGTATTCACAAAGGAACTTATGGAATATGGAACAATTACTTAATCTTTTTATTTAATCTTTTATTAATTATATTTTATTAATTATATTTTTATTAATTATATTTTTATTAATTACTTAATTTTTTATTAATAGAGAATTTTTAGAATCTCTATCGAGATTCTAGAAATTCTCTATTCGACAGCCAATCGCTACGTCCGAGAAATATTTTGTCGTATGAATGTAATATTAGCCTAACGCATGATTCATCGAGCGATGGCCAATCAAGAGTTACTTAGTTCATGACCGAGAGATAGAGAGGGATGACGTTCTCTCCAACGGCAAGAAACGTTGTTGAGGAGTCGCGACGCAGAACGCGTCCGGAGAAGCTGTTGCGAATTATTGTGCAAAATGGCTACGTCCGATTCCAAGGCGCCTTTACGGACAGTGAAACGCGTACAATTTGGTATTCTTTCGCCGGATGAAATAGTAAGTGAATTGTACGCGTCTCGTAGCATTCGTGGAAATGTGAATTTTTATGAAGGACGTATTTCTCGCGACAATCAGAATTCCCCTTCCATTCAATTTTATGCAATGCGAGTGTATTACATGCATAATTGTCACTGTTTTTGCAAGATCAAAGCATAAAAACGAAACTAATATTAATGTATCTGTATATTACGTATTGTTTTTGGAATATTAAAGTAAAATCGAAAACGTATTGTTAAAAGACATAGTAAAGAAATTGTAAAGTTTTTGGAAAAATATTAGGGCAAGAGAAGCATATTGTAAATATTGAAAATAAGTTGGTTCATGCAATATCTTATTGTTACATTTATTCTATTGTTAGCCTTGCGACAGATTATCAATTGAAATTTTTAAGATACTATATATCTTTTATGTAGAATTTTCTGAAATTATTCAATTGTCGTGTAAACGTATAATTTGTAATATAAATATATCTTCAAGGTGATTTTGTTTGACAAAGTAATTTATATGTAATTTATCATTATAATAAAATAAAAGAATATACATGATAGAAAGGAAAGAATGTTAATTTTATTATTTATTTAAATTATATGGAAAATGTATGTTAAAATTGTTTAGCTGAAATCACTTTTAATAAACATTTATCAATATTTAAGCACTCCTTATGTAGCTATTAAAGACAAAAACATTGTGATAAAACCATATTGTGTATTTAGGTCAAATTTAAATATCTTTAGCTTGAATTTAAATTTTGTAAAATGTCATTAAAAGATTGTTTTTGTGTTGTACAGCGTCGTATGTCAGTCACAGATGGCGGCATACGATTTCCAGAAACTATGGAAGGTGGCCGCCCTAAACTGGGCGGTCTCATGGATCCCAGGCAAGGGGTCATTGACAGAAATTCTAGATGTCAGACATGCGCCGGCAATATGACAGAGTGCCCTGGCCATTTTGGTCATATAGATCTTGCTAAACCAGTATTTCATGTAGGATTTATTACAAAGACTATAAAGATACTGAGATGCGTGTGTTTCTACTGTTCCAAACTGCTCGTTAGCCCAGTAAGTGATCACTATACAGGATATCTTTATATAAGTAATATGTTTATTTTATAAAATCTAGAAATTTTTTATTTCAATTTTATTAAATTGTTTTATTTCATTTATACTATAACACAATCCATAATTTATTATAATCGTTGTTTTTTATTAAATATTTTATACAGTAATAAATATATTTATATAAATATTTAACATTTCACAAAAAAAAAATTGATAAAAAAATTGCCATGACATGGGCAATGAACCGTAAATGATATAAAAAAGAATAAATCTCTATTTTTTTATCAATGCAATTTTTCTCTCGATTTGCAGCATAATCCAAAGATCAAAGAAATTGTCATGAAGACAAAGGGACAGCCACGGAAACGACTTGCATTTGTTTACGATTTATGCAAAAGCAAGAGCATCTGTGAAGGCGGAGATGAAATGGACATTAACAAAGAGAACACGGAAAGTCAGCCGCAGGCAGATAGAAAACCTGGTCACGGTGGTTGCGGCAGATATCAGCCTAATCTCAGACGATCCGGTTTAGACGTCACCGCGGAGTGGAAGCACGTAAATGAAGACTCGCAAGAGAAAAAGATTGTACTCTCGGCTGAGAGAGCGTGGGAAATTCTGAAACATATTAAGGATGAAGAATCCTTTATTCTGGGCATGGACCCGAAATTTGCTCGACCAGATTGGATGATAGTTACGGTATTACCGGTGCCGCCATTATCTGTCAGACCTGCAGTCATTATGTACGGCTCCGCCAAAAATCAGGACGATCTGACGCACAAACTGGCGGACATCATCAAATCGAACAACGAACTGCTGCGAAACGAACAGTCAGGCGCAGCAGCACATGTGATTCTTGAAAACATAAAGATGTTACAATTTCACGTGGCGACACTCGTTGACAACGATATGCCTGGCATGCCACGAGCGATGCAAAAATCGGGCAAACCGCTCAAAGCGATCAAAGCCCGTCTGAAAGGAAAAGAGGGTAGAATTCGAGGAAACCTCATGGGCAAGCGTGTAGACTTTTCCGCTCGTACTGTTATCACGCCTGATCCCAACTTGCGCATCGATCAAGTTGGCGTGCCGCGGAGCATTGCACAGAACTTGACGTTCCCCGAGATCGTGACGCCATTTAACATCGATAAGATGCAAGTGTTAG